TTCAGACACTTTTTAATGGAGATTTTGAATATGGCATCCCGTTTTTAATAACTTTTAAGGTGACGGAGAAACACGTGGTAACTTTTAATTTTTCTTATGGGCGCCGTTTTGGAATTTGACATTTTGAGAATACGTCTTTTTTTTCTTTTTACAACGATATATCACACATGGTGGTTCAGTACCACATTTATCCTAAAATTACAATTTTTATTTTCTGAGAAGTGTGCTTTGCAAAAACAATTTTTTTTTTGTTTTTAACAAAAGGTTGACTTACCTATTTCAAATAGTGTCATTTACGTTTGTGCTAGTTTTATTGCGAAAATATTATTTATTCTTATGTATTTTGTTCTAATTTGAATTATTATGTATTTTCATGCAAAACGAAAGTAAGATGAAAATCGAATTTTCTCAACACTAGTTCCCTGCCAACGCTGCAACCAGACAGATGGATCAAGCTGTCAAAACTCAAACTTTTGTTCACAATAAAAGAACATTTTGTTTTTCCAAAGCACTCTTCCCAAAAAATTAAAAATTTTATTTTTAGGAAAAATGTGATTTTAATCGCTAATCTTCATTTACAGTTTTCTGAACTAGCAATCGTTCCTCTACACGCAAAAAAGCACTAGCACTACAAAATCATGAAACAAACAAAGCTGTACAATCCAGTTTGCATTAGCAAACTTCAAAAAAAAAGGAGGAGAGTTTTGTTTGTGTACAAATTATTCGCACTCGAGTCCCGATTGTTGTTTTGCAATTAGGAACGCACGCAGATTCAAACAAGGGTGCCTTCCGGCTTATTATTTCCAAACACTCTTGAGTGACAGTACTTAAGCTACTATTTGCTGTCACGCTAATTCATTATTTATTTATTTATTTATTTATGGAGTTGTTGACGTGTCCTTTTCTTTAAAAAAAAATTAACGCACGCATTATCGGCGCGTCTTAAAATGTGTGCGCGCCTTGAAAGGTTTCGTATTACAAGGCGAAAATTCGCGCGATCTCACACAATTGCCTTTTGTGCTCGACAACATAGAAATTAGTGTAGATTATGAAGAGGATGTAAACTAACCAATATCATTCAAGATAATGATTGTGCCCAAAACACGGGGAACATCGGCTCCGTCGTAATTACAAACCTACGCCACTTTCGGCATTATTCTCGCACCTTTTTGATGGCACTCTGCCGTGTAATAATATTGTCAGTTATGCTAATTTCGAGCGGTCGCCATTGTTGTACTTTATTGCCGCGTCATTGCGTACAATACGCAGCTCGCAATTGTCGGAAACACCGTTCCTCCAACCTATAATTTATTACGACATCGATTTCACCAATATTAACATTAGACTGTGAGACGCATTCAAATGCTTAACAATTGGACAATAACAGTCTGAGAAGAAAATGCAATTGTTTACGTCGTGCGAACTCGCGCGATAATCTGGCGTTAAAATTTCCGCGGCATCAAAAGTAAAAAAATTAAGTTGTAAGAGAGAGGCCCAGGTGTAACTGTAGACCGTCGCTTCCCTTTGATACCTGCTGGTTATACACGTTATGTAGATACCATATATATTCTTTATTGGGGATCTGTCGGTGTCGGTCGCTTTAAGTATATCTAAAAGGATTAAGGAACGCGTAGACGTTTACAAAATAAAGAATTATTTATGAAAAGGCGGAAATGCCATGTATTATAAGAAAGGAGAGAAGACGGCAACCCGTATATAGAATCTCTTAATTAAAGGAGCGCGAGCGACAAAGAACGTTCTTCGTGCAGAGGCCATCGGCAAAAAAATTTCTAAATATTTATTTACAAAACAGGAAGCCCAAAATGAACATAATATTTTTCTATGTTGTCCTTCCAAAATAGCCTTTTACTTTTACCAAGACTCGATGGTTATAGGATAAACAGATTAAGGTAACAGAATGAGTCGCGATCCTAAGCTGATTATGTCAATCTGTTGAGTACTTGGAAAAGATGAAGAGCTAGCCGACGGTTGTTATAAGCTGCTTAAGAAGGACCTACATCACTGCTAAACTTTTTCACTTCATTTAGCTTTCGAAATATCAATAGGATGTGATATTAAGCTGCACGTCAGTAAGTTCTCGCAAATATCCGAATTGTTATTAATCTCAAATGAAATTTGCCATTTTTAAATCAACCACAGCCACTTTTACCGACATTTTCTGTATTCGAGTTACCAGACGAAATACATTCTCATTGTGGTCTGTTAGGCGTTAGCTATTTAGTTCAGACGTGTTGTACCTAGAGCTTTTGCCATCCTAATTAAGCAAAACCGTCCAGAAACGTTTTCAAAGTTTGCTGGCCCTGAGCGCTATAGTTTTGTGTTTAATTTAGCCCAAATTAAGACCTAGAGAAGAGTTCATTTTTTTTTTGATAGGGTTTAACATCTAAGGTCATATCCCCTTTATACACCAGTTTGTACCACACAACTGCTTCTACTACCTCGCATTTTCAGGTCACACTTCTTGGTATATACCGACATCTTTCAGTAATTCAAGTGCCCTTTTCATATTCACAAGGTTGCACAAGTTATCCACGTACGCCATTTCTAATTTATGTGTAAGGCGTTGTAGTTGGTATTTTGGACAATTTTGTATTACGTGTTTTATATTCAATACCACCTGACACTGATTACAGCGAGGAGCAGCTTCACCTTTAAGCAGATGTTGATGCGTAAGTTTAGTGTGCCCTATTCGTATACGGTGAGCCTTTACATTATCTTCCCTAGGTGTATGCTGCTGACCATACATGCCAGAAACGCGTGGTTTAATATTGCCATAGTGCAAGAATAGAATAGTGAAACAACCTTACGGAAAAAAAAGGTAACCGATTTGGACATCGAGATTTTTTAGTACTGGACGCGACAATCTGAAAAGGGGGCGCAGAAGTCGTGAATTTTAAAAGTAACCGATGTTACAAACTCTTAACAATAAATTGCCACTTGGCGCTACACTAGAATAGATGGCGCGTTTTGCAAAGCGAATTTACAGAAGGAATATTATACCTACTTTTATCTCATTTTTATTTGTAAGAAAAATAAAGAGAATCCATGCAAACATCCCGACAGGCGACAATAATGCTCCTTTGTTATTACATTCTCGAGTACGTCAACTGAGTCATCACATTCTACAGACCTCGTTTAAATAACCTACCTTAATATTTCAAATGTTAGGTACCTACTTAAATCGCATACGCTTTCATATAAGTACTTAGTAAAAGTTCACTGGCCACAAATTCGTATTTTTGGCGCATGTATTTTATGTTTTTCCCCCGAATATATGAACGTTTAGAAGTAAGCAATTAATAATTTATAGTTCTACACGTGGCAAAATCATCTAGATATGCTATGTACTAGCATAGGTACTAGGTAGTCACGTTGTGGGAAATTCGCAGAATACAGAATGTAATTTAGGTACCTACTCATTATTAGTGAAACAATAATACAGAATTTTTCTGAAGACGTGATGAACGAACGCAAAAAAAATTCATTCGTGTGTTATTTAATTTACAATGTGCGAACAATTTAATAGCTGTAGGCTCATCTGAACTTGACAATTTTATTTCGAGTTATGGATCTGGATGCCTACCACAAAGTTCAAACAAAACCTTAGAACGACTTTTTTGAGGAAGGTCTTCTTTAGGTGGTTCCAGGGCGGTTCTCTTTGTGCCAAAGGTGAACTTCTTCTGAATATCATCACTAATCCTACAGTCTTATTACTTAATCATTAAATTAGCTCCCCCAAAAATTAATACAAAAAGAATTGCCAAATATGAAATCACTTTTTACTTATAGGTACATAGCTCAATCTTATTATACGGGGTGGTGACTTGACGAACGCACCATAGGAACTTCAATAGTAATTTTTTAATTTCCGATTATTGGCTCCCGTAATTATTTTAGAAATAAAGTCTATTTAGGTTTCTTGTAGAGAAAAAAATTGCGAATCTGTAGATACTATTGTTTGTATTTTATTAATTCAGAAACAGTAAAAATTTAAAAATTAAAAACTGACGCGTTTATAAAGTCTGTAATGCCATGGAATTATGAAATCAAACAAAAGCGCCTGCATTTCCCATTAGCGCCATCAGTGAGCTTTGTTTGATCGCAAAACTACCATGGCACCACTGATTTGCTTAAAAGCGCCAGTTTTTAGTTACCCAATTTCTTGGTTTTAAAGTTCAAAAAATTAAAAGCCATAGTATGCATGGATTCGTAATTTTTGTCTCTACAAAAAACCTAAATAGATTTATCTCTAAAATAATTAGGGAAGCCAATAATCAGAAATGAAGAAATTACTATTGAATTACCTATGGTGCGTTGTTCAAGTCACCATACCGGTATATGCCTGCGATCCTGCACTCTGCTCAGAAAAAAACTACCGAAAAAGTTCTTAAAATAGCCATTTTCCTATTTTAAAAATAGTTGCAAATCTTTATCACAATAAACTTTAGTGCCATTGAAGGGACACCCCACATTTTACACAGAACTTAAATTCTACATGAACTATACGTCTCTACATAAGGATTTTTTTCGTATTCCTCAATTTCAAAAGCAAAGATTTTGCATAGTTTTCTTATTATTTATATGTTCCCGACCTTACAAATTCGGAAAACTGCAGGAAAACCTAAGACGGAGTAGCCGGCAGAATACTCGAAACGGATCTAAGGAAATTCTTACCTCGGACCAGGTTCACACCCAACGCTCTACCACTGAGCAAAGAAAAAGACATAAGTTTTGCAGTGGGCGGCTACCTGCGAATGGTTTTATACTAGAAGACCTATAGTTATAAGAATAAAATGATAACAAATCTTGATACGAACAGTTTTAGAACGATTGAGGCGTTGTCCAAAACAGACGAACATCCTAATCTTTACAAGAAAAAATAGTTATATTTGTCAACTCCAACTTCCAAGAGCTACCAGAGGAAGTATGTATTTTGTCCTATTTTTTGGTGAAATTTTCTAGTTCTGTTTAGAGTTTGGGATACTCCTTTAATAACTTTTAAAATATCTAATCTAAAGTGCAGAGTTTTGTTAGGGGTTGTTTTGGTGGTTTTCTGTTTACATTATCCGATTTGCTACCAACAATTACGAATAAGTATGATGGGAGCCGAAAATATTGCAACTCGCGAGAGAAATCCTAAGCAAAATGACATACCTAACGTAAACTGCACTTAAATGTAAATGCCTAACATTGTTTTGATAGGCAATTTATAACAGGAAAACTAATAGGGATTTAGTTGACACGTTATAATAAGAAAGCTTTAGATGATTCTTTTGTATCGGAATTACCATGTTCATCTTTTTAGTTTTAAAACTTTATTTTGCGTAATGCAAATTTCAAGTCTTTTTACGCCCCAATCACGTGTCCATTCTGGATACATTCCATGATGTTGATACAATAGCTCGGCTACTTATCTTCCTAATAAATTTAATGGCTCTAAACCTTACAATGAAAAGATTAAACGCCGGTTTTTCATCTTACCGTTGAGGGTGTATGAGGTACTTTTATTAATAACAATAGAAGTTACTTTTGGAACTCAAAATAGGTACATTTTTCTGGTGAAATGTTGAAGTTCCAACCGGAGTTCCTTCATCATTATAAACCGTTCTGTAATGAGATTTTGTAATAAGATTGATAAGAACAAAAAAAGAAAGATGCTCTTTCGTATTTCAAGAACAAAATATTGGTGACCATTTTTAAAGTTTCGAGTATTTCCTAAAGAAAATCCTCCCATGAAATTTAAACGAGTGGCGAACCGCAACATTTACTTCTTCCAAATCAGGGTGGTTTCGCAAATCTGCACACCAAATATTTTAACTCAAAGGTTGTTGCTACGCTACCATAGAAACATACGTCAAGATTGAATTATTGAAGTCGGGTAATGATGGAACACTGGTTACACATTTTTGTAACAACCGCTTTAGCGTCTGTCTGTTTGGCAAATTACTTCTGCAACCTACCATGCGAAAAGGATGAGAACACTGTCTGTAGAAGAAAGGTAGCAGTACAACCAAACCGATTGCCAAATCCACTTTGTCTTCTTGTAGCCATGCGGTTGTAGCGAGCGATGCGGTGTTCATTTTCGAATGTTACCAATTGATGGAGGTGCCCGTAAGGTTTTAATTGATCTTCATAACAAATACCGCAGCACCATCGCCAATGGCTATAGTATACCGGGTACTTCAATTAAACTACCGAGTGCGACGGATATGATCAGGCTGAATTACGACCAAGAATTAGAGTTTGTGGCTCAATGTTATGCGAACGCTTGCATGGAATGGGGGGCGCACGATAAGTGCAGAAGAACGTCTAAATTTCAGGCCGCCGGCCAAAATATGTATACCACTTATGGTAGCGGAAATTTCAACTTTTCCGATGAGAAGTACATCGAGGAGGCGGTTACTTCTTGGTTTAATGAAGTTAAGGATATGGAGCCTGATGTTGTTAATAGCTATAGACCAACGTGGGTGTAGGAACTAGATCTTTGAATAAATACACAAAATTCGTTTTAGGGGAAAGGTTATCGGGCACTTTACCCAGTTGGCATGGGCGAGAACCAGTCATATCGGATGCGCTCGAACAATGTATGGGAACCGTAACATAAAGGGAATGTACCTGTATTGTAATTACGGACCTGGGGGTAATATCTTAGGAGGAACCATGTATCAGGCGGGATCGCCTGGCGATTCGTGTTCCATAAGGTCTGAAACCTACAAAAATTTATGTGTGCATTCGAATAAAGTGACTGAACATGAGGGGGATGATTGGGAGGATTGGGAACCTCCTTTTCCCATATTAGAGTAACACTAATAAGCAAATTAATAATGTTTGTTGCAAACGGAATAACAATGTATCTTTAAGAGAAATAAAGAAAAGGTGTGTTCACCGCCTTATAACTAGAAGTGAACTATTTGGAAATTTTGACCATTAGCCGAAACCAAAATCCCAGGTGACAGGCTGAGAAACTTAAAGTTACATTCTTTTCGTTTTTAGCATTTTACAGGAGAACTACGCCATTTAGCAAAAAAAATACCATCAATTGATACCAACTTTTGTGCTATCCCTACTAACTCTAGCGGCTTAAACACAACCTTAAAGTCGATTAATTAGCTTAACTTGTACACCAATTTTCATATGAAATATTTATACAAAAACACTAGATCTCTTACTTAAAAAAAGATTTCCGATCAAAAAGAAATCATGACAATAATTTGTGACTACAAAAATATGCAAACAGTATAAATATATCTCTCCCCCGCTCCCCTTAATTGCTGCAAATAGCATTTGGATCAGCTATTTTGCTCGGAAATTGAGAAGAAATTTATACCAGCACATTTTATTGCTGAAAAATTAGGTTAAAAAAAAAGTCAGTTGCTTTCCACTGATGGTTTCATGCCTTTGCGGGTTTCCTCGTTTGCTCTTAAAGGTCAAAAGAGTCTTCTAGCATAACACACGAAGTTGCGGTAACGCTTATATGCTCAATTTTCCCCTCGTCTGTCTGTCTGTCTGTTCCTTCGAGATCTCGGGCCCTGGGTTATCTAGAGACCTAGAGACTGGGGGTAGCTCTGCGGTGTACCACAAAAACATTTTTTTGCTTCATTTTAGTACTCCTTTTTCGGAAATCAATTACAATACAGTTTTTTTTTAATTGCGGCTGATAATTATGGATTCTACGCACCAAAATTAATAAGAAAAAGTGTTTTCCCGAGAAATTTTGGTGCAGTCAATTTTGGGTAAAAAAGGAAGGCTATACACTGCCTTTTTTTGAGGCCGGAAAAAAATTGTCTCAGATCGACCCGAAAAAAATTTTCTTATAGAATGTGGCCTGTAGAATCCATAATTTCAAACAGTTCCAAGATTGGGCTACTAGTTCAAAAGTTACAGCCCTTTGAATTTTCTTTCGAAATTGGTTTCTAGTCTATAACTTTTGATTGAGAAGTCTGATCGAAAAAGTACGAATTGTTTTGGATTCTACGCACCAAAATTAATAAGAAAAAGTGTTTTCCCGAGAAATTTTGGTGCAGTCGATTTTTGGTAAAAAAGGAAGGTTATACACTGCCTTTTTTTGAGCCCCGAAAAAAAAAATTGTCTCAGATCGACCCGGAAAAAAATTTTCTTATAGAATGTGGCCTGTAGAATCCATAATTTCAAACAGTTCCAAGATTGGGCTACTAGTTCAAAAGTTACAGCCCTTTGAATTTTTTTCGAAATTGGTTTCTAGTCAGGGGCGGGCCAGGTGGAATTGCATAGGTTACGGGCCATTAAAGTATTAGTGTAGTAATGAAGGGGGCGGGGGGGTAGTTCTGCGGTGCATCACAAAAACATTTTTTGCTTCATTTTAAAGTACTCCTTTTTCGGAAATCAATTACAATACAGGTTTTTTTTAAAATTGCAGCTGATAATTAAAAGTAACAAAATATACATTAATAACTTATTAATAGTGCAAGAAACTAAATACAGCACATACTTATAAATTTCCAACTGTGCCATTATGACGTACAGGCCAGGTGGCAATCGCCACCCGCCCCCCCGGGCCAGTCCTCCCCTGTAATCTTAACCACCATGTCTATGACATGCAAAAAGAAATTGAAACTAATTCTCATTTTGCAAGTTAAAACTCTATTTCCTGGACTATATTAACCATTAAAATAACATCAAAATCAAAAATGCAGACTTTTCCAAAATAGAACTATATTATTACTAATTACTATTACGCCATTATAGTTTGTTCCTTCTTTACCGTACTTAACGTCATAGTAATGTTCATAACTAACGTAGCTAGGCCCTGTTTAGTTTTTGGAGGGAATATCCTTTAATTGTATACTATCGGATTTAACTAAAAATATACTACTGTTGTATTTACTGTTTTAAAGACCTCTGAGAACAAATATTTGTCGCACCTTGTATAGTATGGTGTGTATCCTTTTATGAATATTGCTTTTGTATAGAAAAGGGTCTGTATACGAAATATTCTTCAGCTGTTAAATTTGAAGGTTAGATGTGACATAATTGTTTATTTTTTTCAAAGAAATTAAAATACAATAGAAATGATTGATTGTTAATTAAGTTTTACTGTTTATTTTTCTTCGTCTTTTGCTTCGGTCAACACACGCACCGCTATGCATTTATAATTGTTTTACAAATTTCCCTTTCACTTGTAATTATCACACCAACTTTCGTTTTTATCACTGTTTTTACTTAGTTAATTTAAATAATTCAAACATTTACTCCCCTCATTACTCATAATTAAGTGACTCATTTATTTGTGCTGTAGCTAAATTTATCTTTTAAGTACATCCTATTGTCATTAAGCTAGATATGTTATCGACAAATATTTAATTTTCTTGTAAAGTGAACATCTCACCTTGAAACTAAATGGCGTGCTCGAAGAAATGCGGTGTGTGTACGCTTCTCAGTTTAGGGGGCGTATTTGTAACGATCGGCGTAGTGCTCGCCCTATTCTGGACTACGCTCTATAACGGAATCTTAACTACGGTAAGTTGGCCCGGTAAACTTCGCAATTTCATCTCAAATTTCCAGGAATTGGTTTTGACAAACTCATCGAAAAGTTACCAGCTATGGAAGGACACCCCGATTCCGATTTACATGAAGATGTACATGTTCAATTGGACGAACGCCGAGGAAGTCGTGAGAAGCAAGTGGACTGTGAAGCCACAGATGCACGAGTGCGGACCGTACGTGTTCAGCGAGCACCATGTTAGAGTTAACGTGACGTGGAATGAAAATAGTACCGTAACGTTTCGGCAAGTGAAAACGTGGCAGTTCGTTCAGTCGATGTCCAATGGAAGTTTGAACGATTCCATTACGAATATAAACCCGATAACAATTGTAGGTACGGGTGGAGAAGTGTGGAACGATGACCGAAATTTATTGTAGGTGATCGGAGAGAAAGTGAAAAACTTGCCGACACTTGTAAAGGAAGCCATCAATTTTCTTCTAGTCGATATGCACGAAAATCTGTACTTTACTAGAACTGTGGACGATTTAATATTTAAAGGTGTTGAGGATCCGATTTTAGACAAACTGGACAAGTTTCACGTTAAGATACCGTTTAAGAAATTCGGCTGGTTTTACGCAGTAAGTTTCAAAAGAAAAGAAAGCTCCCTCCCCTTAAAAATACTACAGATAGAAGTCGGGGAGCTAGAGCTGGAAGTAGGATCACCCAAACTCTATCCTGCCTCGAGAGATATACATGAAATTTTGTTGCTTCACAGTACCACTGGAAGCAAGGTTCCCTAAAGAGTATCCTGCTAGTGTCCATTATCCTGCTTCACATTTTAGGTCAACAGTACCATTGAGAGGGAAACACTTGCATTTTTGTGTAGTTTGCTGTTTGAATTTTTAAATTGCTTTTTGAATGATTTGCTCATTTCTCGAGAGGCATCAACATTTACGGTTCAGATAGACATAAAAGGCGAGATTATTTCCTTAATAGGGGCGTCCTCTTTGGCACATATTAATATGCTGCCTGGCACGGTATTCCTCATCATGTACTTACTACTGATTTTGTTAAAAAAATTACCTTGTGAATTTCAGGTGATTTTTTTTGACAAAATCAGGAATTGGCGGCCATTTTGAATGACGTCATACTGGGTATAATAATTACTATTCCCAGTATGGCGTCATTCAAAATGGCCGCCATTTTCCAGTACCATTCTGTTTGCGTGGGAATTTTAGTAAAATGGTAAGAGTTATCGAAAAAGGTTTCAAATAAATAATATTCAGTGGAACATTATCTACAACTTTGTTTATTACCAATTTTTTGACAACTGAAACCGTTACCGTGAGTCTGTAAAAGTTCCTTTTTCACTATTTCTGCTATAAAGAGCAGTTTTTGACATACTTTTCATATTGTACTTTAAAAAAGCATTATACGATATACAATAATTATTTCATGAACAACAATTTATAATGGGTTTCTGCAATTATATTTGCCTTTGTCAACATGTTGCACAAAACCAACAACATGCAATTTCGGGACCTCTGCACTAGTATAACACCAATTCTGGTGCAGTTTGACTTTGAGTTCTGCGCATGCGCCAACGCCAATCGTGAAACTCTCTGAAGGTAATCGTGGTTGTTGTCCAAACTAAAAACTCACTGAAGGTCAAACGTCGAGTCGACGCTAGTTCTCGATCGCAATGTGTGGTAGTAGAGTGCACTCCACTCTGACGTCACATTACCTGTAGTCACACAGCGTCCATTACGTGACCTGACTGGAAAAATAAAATTGTTATACAGTGGTAAGTTTGAATTTGTGCAGATTTGAATTATGGAACGATAAATGAATTTCGATTGGGGAATTTTTTAGTAAAATAAAACAGAAGAATTTCACCATGTATACTTCTTTCGCAACTCCCTATACTTTTATTTTCGCATTTTTACGACCACGACACTATTTCATGAATCACGCACTAGATGCTAATTACAGAAAACTATATTCCCGATACTTGTAAGTTGTAACACTAACAAATCCCTATCACAATCGGAAATTCAAATCTTCCGCAAAAATTCAATTGCACGCATCTCCCTATACAAATTATACCGCTTGATGATCATGACATATGGTCGCACTGGAACAAAATGGCTTACCGTAACAAAATTTCACCATGTATACAACTCTCGCAACACCCTGTACATTTATTTTCGAATTTACCGCGTTGGCGCTTGGAAATTCAAAAATTCAAATCTCGCGCACAATTTTAAACTTACCGCTGTTTTATTTTTTCGTACAGGTCACGTGATATGAGGCGTTGCCACGTCATAATTTGCACCTAACGTAAATATACCTATTTTTTTAAAAAACTAAGCTCTCGGTGGCGGTGGATGGCATTTCTTGGCTCGTGGTAACGCGTTGAAAGCGGTAACGCCCTGTATATTTTTAGCTGGTGTCGATGTCATTTTTGAACCTTTGCATGGAAACCTATTCACTATTTTTAGTTTTTTGCCAAATTATTAATGTTTTTCAGGGGCGGTTTTATACATTCACTCAGGGGGGGGGGGCGAAAATAAAAAAGCTACAGAATTGCAGATGCAGAGGTGCGCGGGAATTTTTTTTGAGTAGCTTTGACCCAATTTCAGCTGTTTTTTTTGTTAAACTATCTATTGCCGCATTAATTTCCGAATACTGACAAAGACAGAAAAAATACGAGAGGCGATAATGATAGTGCTAAAGTACAGTCGTGAGTCGCAGTCTGGACAATACACGATTCCGCCCCCGCCGACATTATTTTGTGTACCTATTTTATTTAATTTTACTTTTCAGTCAGGTGGTTTGTGGTTAGGTCTATTTAATTCGATTGTTATGTAAACTTAATGAATTAAAAAAAACAATTGAGCAGTATGTTTAGGGGGGGGGGGGATCGCCCCTGTCCCCCCCCCCAAAACCGCCCCTGGCTTTTTCTGACGCTTTGATAAATCGTAGCGACCTTGATTTTAGAGTTAAGTAATACATTTGATCAATGAAAGCTGGATTTAGTGATACAGGGTGTTTACAAAAAAATAGTAAAATTTCCAAATTTCAAAGTGTCATAACTATTATTTTTCACTCTATTATTTAACTCTTAGGTTAACGGTTAATCTGAGGGAATTACCACAATTTTATTTCTCTATTCGATAGTCTTTTATGTGTGCTCTTCAATTTTTATAAGGGGTGTCCCGTGCCTAAACCCCGTGGGTTTTAGGTTATTTAATATTTTTCACAAAAGTAGTTACACATCCGACGGGGGCCATTCAGGATACAAGCCATCATCTTCCATAAATACAGCAATTCAGATGTAAACTGGTCCAATTAGCTATGGTTAATTATACTCACTTAATTGGCCGGATTAAAATTCCAAAATTCTGTACTAATTTTTTATTGCAATTTTCGGGTCAAGCAAGAGGTCCGCATATTTTTCATATCGTTTTTTGAGCATTTAGACTCCTTTCAGAACCTTCTAGCCCGTTTAGAGGAATGAAACAATACTAGCAGGATAGGGATTGAGTCATCCTGCCTCAATTTCATTTTCATGTTTACCGATTTCACCTGACACATGTTTACTGCAAAATTTGTGTTAGAGGAACAATTCGGCGTCATACGATGGGACGTTTACGATGTACACCGGGAAGAGTGACATGGATTCGTTGGGGGAGTTATCGTTATGGAACGGTATGCCGAATACTACGGCCTATAAGGGAAAATGTGGGGACGTAAATGGCACGACCGGAGAGCTGTGGCCTCCGGTTTCGAATCGAGAGCACGTCGAAATTTTTGCGTCCGATATTTGTGGGTAAGTCCTCTGCGAGTGCTGCCACCTTTGCTGACAAATGCTCCCATCGACAGGCAGCTGTCTTTCGAACACAATGGAACTGAAAGCGTCTTAAATGTGGAGGGGAAAAAGTTTATCGGAACAGACTTCACGTTCGATAACGGTACCAAATATCCGGCGCAATCCTGTTATCGGGGCGATGAAGTGATAGCAAGTGGTGCGCGGAGTATCTCCGTGTGCAGGTTTGTCTTGTAGTACGTCGGGTACATGGCTAGAATGGGGAAAATACTGCACTTTTTGATTGGTAATAGTTAATACCAAAAGGCAACTTTTGAGAGAGGGAGCCACTCGAAACCAAAATGGTGGCCGTCAAAATGGCGCCATTAGCCGCAATATATTTTTTTGTATCTCTGCTCCTAATAGTCCGATTTTAATTTTCTTTTTTTTTATTGAAAGCTCTTGTGACGGGGAAACTTTTTTGCTATTTAACATTTATCTCTAAAACTTAAGGACTTTGAATCGTATAGACCGATTCAGCATCAGACCTTAAGAGCTGAATAATACAAATCCGTACATATTAACATTTGACGTGGACAAGTTACACATAAAAATCAGGTTGAGCTTACTTGTGATTCAAATTCGTAAAAAACACTTTTTTAAAATTGTGCTAAATCCTTCACTTTTAGAAATAAATGTTAATATAGCAAAAAAGTTTCCTCGAGCTTTCAATAAAAAAAAAGAAAATTAAAATCGGACTATTAGGAGCAGAGATACAAAAAAATATATTGCGGCTAATGGCGCCATTTTGACGGCCACCATTTTGGTTTCCTGCACGGATTTTCGAATGGCTCCCTATCTCAAAAGTTGCCTTTTGGTATTAACTATTACCACAGAAAGTGGCATACTCCAATCAAAAAGTGCAGTTTTTTTTTGGCGTACCCAAAGTACTATTGTAATTGTGGAAGACGCAAACTGATAAATTGTTGCAGGTTCGGGTCTCCCGCGTACATGTCTTACCCGCACTTTTACTTAGCCGATCCCAGTTACTTGCAGAAAGTGACGGGATTAAAACCCAATAAGACTGAACACGAATCGCATCTTACCATCGAACCTGTCACGGGAATCACATTAGCCGCGAAGGTGCAACTTCAGCTAAATCTCCGAATAGAATCCATTAAGGGAATGAGGTGAGATTCTTTATGTGCCCAAGAAATGTATTAAAGTTGCATTGTAGCATCTTCGATAACGTACCGCCGATGTACATGCCAATGATATGGTTCTCTCAAGTGGCCGAACTCCCTCAGAAGTATTGCAGTATGACGACGTTACTTGTCGGCTTGGGAAGTGTCGGGCACTATGTCGGGTGGACAGTATTTGCTTTCGGTTTACTTATGTCGATTGTAGGGTTTATATTAATTTACAGGAATAGAACCGAGGACGAGGAGGAAGATCACTTGATCGAAAATGAATCATAATTTTTAAGTATAACTTACCTGCTAGTGTCTATTTTCTAATTCTAATCCTTTTAATACAATTGTTTTTCTTATGAGTATGCGATTATTTACAATATCATACGTATCTTTGTAAATACTTGCCGTTTGCAATGCAGTGGCAATTTTAAAGTATTCCTATTTTTCTAAGTAAAAATGCAAATACCTTCAAAGTTACTTATTTAGGTAGTGTTTTTTCTCTACAGGAACATTTAACATCAAAATGGTCTATAGGTCTACTTTCTAACAGCTCATTAATGGCACCAGTGATTACTTTTTCATTTGTACTTGTGTTGTTCTTAGAGAGAAAGGGAAATAACAACCAAAAAAGCATGATGGTATCAGCATGATATATTTATTGATGTTTTCTTTCTTGGTAGATGATTAATGGGGAGGGGGCTCTTTACACATAAACATTTAAAGGTCACTTGGCATAGGTACATACATTCAAAATCTATGTCTTACAATGCAAGAAGAATCAAAGACTTAAGTTTTTACATCGCTAGTAGATGTGTCTCATCTAGACGTTCTTTCTGCCCTTTGAGAGTACGCTCCTTTGACACTGTGTTCAACGGATATTTGCACTGAAAGTTTTGACATCACCAATAGATAGGTATATTTCTTCCAGGTGTTCTAATCGCGCTTTGTGAGTACCCCCCGACAATCTGTTCTTGAGATATAAGGAATTACTTATATCCGATCACGATAAGGGGTTGAGGAGGCGGATTATGGTTGGTAGAAATAAATTCCTTTCATTGCGACTTTTCAGTAGAGTACCATAGATAATACCAGTACCTCTATCCGAAACCCCATGGGCTAGTTCAAAAGTTACGGCCCTTTGAATTATCTTTCGAAATTGGTTTCTATATCTTTTGATTGAGAAGTCTGATCGAAAAAGGACGAATGGTTTTGGATTCTACGTACCAAAATTAATAAGAAAAAGTGTTTTCCCGAGAAATTTTGGTGCAGTCGATTTTTGGTAAAAAAAGGAAGGTTATACACTGCCTTTTTTTGAGGCCCTCAAAAAAAATTGTCAGATCGACCCAGAAAAAAATTTTCTTATAGAATGTGGCCTGTAGAATTCATAATTTCAAACAGTTCGAAGATTGGGCTACTAGTTCAAAAGTTACAGCCCTTTCAATTTTCTCGTTCTTATTATTCCTTAAATGGCAGTTCAAAATGTATGGAGCAATTGTAGTTTAAAGGTCCCGTTTTTGACTAGATAGATTAAATACAATAAGTACTACTGCGCCATCTCCATGGCAATCGATATACTTTCTATTAATTATAGTTTTAGAAGTCTAGTTGAGATGTCGCCACGGACGCACCTTCTTTTAAAATTTCATTTCAATTTATGCGATTAATAGCAACGTCGCACTTATTATTCCTTAAATACAGTGCCGTTTTTAAGTTTTTCGGGGCCCTCGGCCATTCGTTCGGGGAGGCCCTCCTTATCCTCAATAAAAACGGCAGATTGGGGAGATTCAAACAAATCCGTAATTTGAATATGGGCACTCGATATTTGTGTAGCCTGGTTTGTAGGCAACACATCATACTCAATGAACAGAAAACATTATTTTTGCAATTCGTAACTTCTTAATGAGTTTATTTAAAGCCCTTGGAAGAACAATTTCAATAACAGGTACATTAAACTGAACCGTTTTACAACAACTTTCACACGAAGATCGCACAAACAACACATTTTTTCGTGATTGCAAACTGCGTAACACTTTTGCCTTATTTCGCTGCCAATTTCACTACCGTTTCTATAACCGTAGTTCTATCAAATAAACTCTAGGCTCAATTCTTTAAAGAATAGCTTCGCACCATCGCCAGCTGCTGCAATCATGTAATCGTTCCGATTTTAACCTTGAGAAGTTTGAATTGCATTAGAATGGGTTTTCTGCGAGTTCTCCACGGTGTCCTCCTGTTTTGGTTACAAAGCATTTCCCTGTGTTGTCTGAATTCAATGCTAACGTTTCTCATCCATCAAGAACTACATGTCTTCGATTGCACGACCCAGAGCGAACAGTATCATTTTCCGCAAAGGTTGGGTCTGCCGCTTTCCTGTCACTCCCACTCAGAGCTGTGCAAAGCCCTTTTGCAATGGGCTTCATTCCAAAGCCCTCAAGCCCGTGTAAGAGGAATGGTGAATGGAAATTCCTCTTAGCACGAAAAGGGCTTAAAATTCCAAAGCCCTTTAAAAAAGGCTTAAAGTGACGAAGCCTTAAGCTCAAAGCCCTTTGAAATTGAATTGAATTCCTTTTTAAAAATGAATTGAAATCCGTTAGGAAAAGGAATTGGGATTTGGAATTAAAAGAAATTGAAATCCTTAGCAAAGGAATGGAATTCCTTCGCAAAAGGAATTGAAATGCTTTATGAAAAGAAACCGAACTCCTTTAAAGAACGAACTAAAGTTCTTAACTCCTTCGCAAGCCGAAAAAGCTTTAGACCTAAATTCCAAAGCCCTGCTTTTAGAAAAGACTTGAAGCCTTGGAATTGCAAGCTTTTTTAGAGCTTGAGGGTTTTCCAAGCCTTTTGTACCAATTCCTTTGCACAGCTCTGCTCCCACTAGCCAGTTCCCTAATTTAAACCTGTAATGCCCGACAAATTTAAGCGAAGCTTAGCTTAAGCGTAGCTTAAAATCTATGGTAACCATTGTCTCAATAATCGTTGCCAAATTGCCATGGATTTTAAGGTACGCTTAAGCTAAGCTCCACTTAAATTTGTCGGTGCAAACGGCTATAAGCGAGAAAGGAATGATAACAAAGTTTAATTTTTGACTATAAAATAAACATTCATTAATGAATTTGAGGTTAAAACTTCATATATCTATGGAAGCGTCTATGGTTTTTAATAAGAGCGCTCTGACATCTAACGTTAGTTTCATAAAGTACATTATAATATTAGTGTGGCGACATCTTTGAGGTGTAAGTTCCAACTAAAATAATGGTGGTAATAAAGTGTCCTGCATTCAGCGATAAAATGTTAGTCTCCCAATAATAAAGACAGAGGTCAGCACAATGTATTCTGCTTTGATTATTTATTAAATAAAAACTCAGGTGAGGCTATAAATATTTTGGGATTTGTGCCTTTCGCTGTCAAAGGTGTAAACCACGAAACTCGAAAATAAAACATTTCGCTCCTGTATTATAGCCTATTCCTTTGCGTCATAGCGTTTTTGGAATGCCAAAGGACAGGGCGGGTAAACGGACGGCCGTCCGTATACCTCTTTGGTATACCTTTACCTAGATTTTTGACGATTTTAATAAAGTATCTGTTAGTCTATAACTTTTGATTGAGAAGTCTGATCGAAAAAGTACGAATTGTTTTGGATTCTACGCACCAAAATTAAGAAGAAAAAGTGTTTTCCAGAGAAATTTTGGTGCAGTCGATTTTTGGAAAAAAGGAAGGTTATACACTACCTTTTTTTTGCCCCGAAGAAAAAATTGTCTCAGGTCGGCCCGGAAAAAATTTTTCTTATAGAACGTGGCCTGTAGAATCCATAATTTCAAACAGTTCCAAGATTTCGAGCTATTATTCGCTTTGAAAAAACGCAAACATTTCTTGACACTAATTATTTGCAGAACACTATCCAGACTCACACCCAGCTTTACAGTCCTTTCCAAAGCGCTTATCTACCCTTAGAAGAAGCCTAGAAAGTTCTAGAGAATGAGTCCTTTCTCGTACTTTTTACACTAATTTTAGGGCCATGTGAGAGCTTTCCAAGCTTTTTCGCATTTCTGCACTTTTTGTCTTAGGCACGTTTAGCTGTGGAAAGTATTCAAAAGGGTTTCGGAAAGTGTAGAACTGACGCGTAAGCGGGACTTAAGACAAAGAGTAATTTGACATCTTGAATGGAGTGCATGCATATCCGCAGGGGCACGGTGCCTTCCCCATCCTACACCAAAATTTCTCGAGAAAACACTTTTTCTTATTAATTTTGGTGCGTAGAATCCAAAACAATTCGTACTTTTTCGATCAGACATCTCAATAAAAAGTTATAGACTAGAAAGGAAACCAATTTCGAAAGAAAATTCAAAGGGCTGTAACTTTTGAACTAGTAGCCCAATCTTGGTACTGTTTGGAATTATGGATTCTACATTCTATAAGAAAATTTTTTTCCGGGTCGATCTGAGACAATTTTTTTTGAAGCCCGAAAAAAAAGGCAGTGTGTTAATTTAATCTATAAATCGACTGGTTCATCAATAGAAACTTGTCCAAATAAAAGTGATCGTTAAAACATGCAAGTCTATGAGGTTCCCACCCCCAAAAGTCTTCTCTTTCTTTTATCAGAGTCGCAGTAAGACGAGGATGCATTAAATTGATCCCATTTTCTTAGTTTGTGCGTCACACTATAAAAAAGGATGAAGGGAAATGTTATCTATACGATATGTAGAGGGATGAAATGAGTGTTTTATTTGAAGAATGTATACTAACACTTCTAGCTAGTTAAGTACAATTCTAATATGTCATAATGAGATAATAATTGCTCCCTAAGTACATATAAATAAATATTAACGTCTAATGGTTGATAATATCCAATCAATTGTATTATCTGTAATTCTAATTCCATTCACAGGATATTTATCGTTACAGGAGTTAGAGGAACCTTCTTTGTGCATCACGCTCACGATGATTCCTTCCACGTACCATTGGATTCTTCGCGTGAGACTGTACATAAATGGACCGCCGTGCTCTCCGGCGCACGCCAAGGTCGTCGGATTTATCGGCGGCGATGTACAGATAAAGCTGGCATTGGCGAACTTAACGTTTCCTTCCAACCAATCACTTTCCTTGTAGCAAACCTCGTCATTAACCACATTGTAAGTTAGTCTTTTCTTCGCAATGCCCGTGCTATCTAGACATATGTAGTATGTAGTTTATTTATCAGCCGCTAAGTCACTTACTAGGAGCACCCCATCCCGAGAATACCAAGGACGTCGGACTGGGACGTTTGCTCTGGTCGATTGGTAAACAAATTGGTCTAACGAAATCTGAAAATCAACTTGTAGAGAATGTTTGGACAGATGAGGTATTCACCCGAATATTCTACGGGCTTGACCAATCTGAGCAAGGAAAAATCGTAAGGTCCATTGGACTTTTTACCATCGCGTATGATTTCTTCGACGGCTATATCGTAGACTGGCTCGTTGCAGTCCTCTAGCTTAGATGCGGGGTCACAACTGACCGATTGATTCGTGTTGTACTCCCCAATCTTTACCTTGATCCTTTGGAAACATTTCACTATTGGAAATGATGTTAAGACAACTTACGATTCGGCTCCGCAGTAAGCATCCGTGAGAACATAGCGGTTGTTGATGAGAACTCCGCTGCATCTGTCCGCGTACTGCTCCTCGTACTCGCTGTTGGAAAACCTCACATGTACTAACCACGGAAATTCGTCCAGAGCGGTGATAGGGCTGTCGTACGGGCGGTCATCTTTGTGCTGGTAACCGCAATACCTTTGGTCCGGTAACAGTCTTTGTTTCACAGCTTCCTTATATCTAAGCAGGAGATCTTCGTTCGTGCTGGTATCTGAAGAATATTTATCACTAATGGCTGTAGCAGTAGTGGGTGGCGACGGTATAGGGGACTCTTTCTGTGAAGGAGGTGGACCACAGCAAACCATGAAGTCGCCGGCTTCACACCCCAAACAAATCGACTGCCTTACAAACTCAACGGCCAGTGGGTCTGTGCTACCTAATGCTTTCATTAAGTGCGGACAAGAAAATAAAGACGTACAGTATGCCCGCTCGGCATCTGGTGTCACACACGGATATACTAAAAATAGTGAAGAAGTTAACCGCGACATTTTTCTGGGAGGTTAGTATAGTTCTTTAGATTTTCCGTACTGCGTCTTCACAACTTTTATGGGACAATGTTTTGAAAACGCAGCAGTATTAAATGAGTGTTAAGGTACTTACCGATTTCGTCAGCAACAATAACATAACAAATACAATTTACTAATAGCAATATTTGGTAACGCATCTTTAATTATTGCAATTGAGCACGCTCGATTTATTAAACAAGAATCTACGTAGCCTCCTCAACTGGAAACCGGTCGCATCGTACTAAACGATGATAATCTTCGAATCGGTTAAATTCGATCTTACTTAAGTAATGGTTTTGACGTCAGATTGTGGACAAGACCGTCGACCTTGACTCAATTACCATAAATCAACAACAATAATAAACAGATTGTAATTACGGGAAAACGAAAACACGCTCACTTTTTGTGTGAAACGTAAATTCCGTGAATGAATGGCTCTTACGATTGGATTTTTCGGAATGGAAACTGTTTATGCCCGAAATTAGGAAGTTATTCAAAAAATGTATTGAACATGTATAAAGCGCATTTTTTAACCGAAATAGTGTTTGTTTTGACCACCACCAATGGATATATTTCTTGCAGACGTCCCAATCGCCCTTTGTGAGTATCCTCTTCCGACAGTCCGTTCTGGAGATATAAGGGAATATATCCGATCAAGATAAGGGGTCGAGGAGGAGGACTATGAATGGTAGAAACAAATTCCTTTCGTGAAGACCTTTCGTTAAAGTACCATAAAGGATAAAACCAGTTCCCCCCCCCCCCCCCTCCAACCCTGTTTTAAGGGGACAGAAAGAAGGGCAGTAGTTGGTAGAAGACGGTTCTTTTCGTTCAGATTGTTAATTAGAATGCCATGAAAGATAAAATTAATTTCTAACACCCCCCACCCCCCGGCCCCGTCACTCGCTGATCTCGAAAAAGAGTCGTCCTGGGTAGCCTGAAGGGTAGGACGTGTGTTAACCCCCCATTTTCAAAAGTTTCACTTGGAACCACTAAAGGCAGGCGCATGCAAAATCTGAGACCAATTGGTTGTAAGGTATGCACGTTTTACTTTCAAAAACAGCATGCATGGGGAGCCCCACCTTTAACACAGCGAAATTTGCTGGCCGTCTGGCACACCTTCAAGGTATAGGGTACCTACTGCAAAAAAATCCAAGACTCTACGACCAATTCCTCTAGAAGTAGTTCAGAGCGGCAGAAGTGGGCCCGGACGGACGGACGGACAAAACGCAAACAATAGCACATTTTAAAAAAAATGCACTAAAAAACATCCTTCTAAAAATGTTCAACAAAATATAGAATTCGTACAAAATTCCCAAAAAGTGACTCGAGTCCCACGCCGTTCCGATACTAAAACCAGGTACATCGCCCACGGACCCAAACAGTTATCGTCCTTCATCGGTCTCTCAGCGGATGGTTACCACACGGCTCATAAACACCTAGAAGAAAGCCACAAAATCGACAAAAACCAGTGTGGATTTAGAAAGACTGATCAATTGATAAAATCTGCCGACGATCTATACCAGAGGTAGTGTAACGTTATTTTATACCGATTGATATTCTTGATTTAAATTCCGCTTGATTTGTGCTCATATTTAAATTGTTGCTCTCATGTACAGGTATTTCATATTTTTACGCCATGAAGGTATTTACTTTGTAATCCACTTAGTTTAAAAAGTATTTTACAATAGTTCCTTGTTTCGTCGTCCGAGGTCGTACAGATGTGTTTCATGGTATTTCTAATCTTGCGCACAGTTGTATTTCTTTCCCCTCAGTGAAGTTTCCACTTTCGCATTGCTTACATGCAAATTTTTCTTCGGTGCGCCATTACTTTTTATTGACTTTTGTCTACCTGCATTGAATCGTTTTTACGGATCTGTATTTGCATATAGGTTAACGATTTTTGAAAAGCATAAAATTATGACGATATACTCAATTTATATCTACAACTGTCTAAAGTATGCAAAGCGTAATATAACAAAATTTAGCGATAACTCACATCATAATTACAATACAAGATTTAATGACTTGCTACGGACAGATTTGCACAAACTTTTTATAAGTCACCGTTTTATGCTTGCAAAAAGTTGTACAATTCATTGCCCTCTAAAATTAAAAGTATCAATAATTTCAACTCTTTCAAAAATATAGTTAAAAAATATTTACATAGGCAAGCCCTCTATTCACTAAATGAATTCTACGAATTGCAAACTCTGTGAAGGAAACTGAGCCGTGTGTACTATCTTCTTTTGTGTATCTATTCTTGTACTTGACTTGCATTATCATATACCATATATGTCAAGATGCTAATAAATCACTTTATACTTTATACTTTAATACGAAGTATGTTACAGTATTACGCAACATTTTTCTCATTAAATATGTTTTTTAGGGCTTAACGATGAACGTATGCTGTAGATGAGTTTCTACCTTACCGGCCGATCTCTGTGAAATTGATCATTACTATCTAGACTTCGAAATTGTTTATATCTGGAGATTTCAAGTATTAACGAAACCCTTTGGAGGTTAACGATCCTGCGATTTGCTTCGATATACCCGATTTTACTTACCCTACTTGCTTTGCTACGAAGAATTATATCGCCCGCCAACCGATTTTGTTGGCAATTACTTTTGTTACTCCCAGAGTAGTTTGTGCTTTGTAAATTAATTTTCCAAGTTACCGAGACCGAAGCCGATATCTACAATTATTTGTTTTACTCCGGACAATTCGCTCATATTATCGTGTTTACATTTTGAATTAATTAGATTGCATTGCTGTTGAATAAAAATTTTCTTTTCTCGAATTTAACGTCAAGTTTATGCTTTCGTACAGATGTTTAAGGATAACCGGTGGTCGATCAAAATTTTGCTAGTGTAAAATTATTCGAATCTTTGATTCTTGTTGAGTATTAATTACAGTTTAATATCCGATTGCCTCCCAGTCAGACGCAATATTTTTTATGCCGCGCTACTCACTACCCTCCTTATTTGTTTGTTAATGTTGTTAGCAGTTACAGATTAGGCAGAACGCGCCCTTTTGAGCTCACAAGGTTGCCAACCGAAAATCAAAAGTATTTTTTTTTATTTTCGACGACTCCTTGATATAACGTTTGATTACATACTAGTTTTCGATACAATCGAATTGTAATTACTACCTTTGTTTGATATTTTGCTTATTTTTGTGTACATTCACCCCCCTGCTCAACTCTACTTTGCCTGGGTTTACCGTGTGCTTATCCTCAAGGTAATTTTGTTACATTTGCCCAAAGCAAACGTAGATTTCTTTTTTAGTGTCCCTCGTATATTTTATACAATACAATACATATAATTGAATTTTGATTTGATTTGATTTTTTTTTTTTTGCTTATATACAAATGTAAAGGAATCACATATATAGAAATCAAGTTTTCGTGTGACTCACGCTCATCCTATCCGTTGTATCTTTCTTGCTCACCCGAAGTACGGAGTGGGAATCTCAGTACTAATCGAATCGTCTGCGGGTGCAGTTCCACGTTTATTTTTAAATCGCTGATTTAAGTCACCCTACATACCACTGGGATCTAGTTAGACATTAACATTCCAAAGCTGCATTTGACAAAATTACCAGCGGCCATTTTTTGACCGCGGATATTACTAAGGTGGGAACAAGTATTCGTATTTTTTCTACAGTGGATCTTAAAAATATTTAATATTGACTTTGACAAGTTAAAAATAAATAGTGCTAACCTTGCATTACAATTACTTCTAGGTACAACTCGGCGAATAGGACAGTTGTTGTCAGATGTCTTCTCTTAAGGACTTTATAATGCATTTATTTGAGTTACGAATGACGTGAAAATGAAATTTCTTAGGGTCGAGGTTCTTAAAACATTCTTACTTTCTCGACTGGAATAAAAAAATGAGCTTTCGTCATCCTCGCGCAGTTATGAATGGATTAATGGTTCTAAATCGTATTAGTCGCTGGCTGTGGTTTTGAATTACACTCTGGAAATTAGTCATCTTCTGTTACTTCTACGATTCAGTGAAGCTCGGTAAGAAATATACTGACTGAAAAATCAGAAATCCAGTGGCAACACTCGTACTTATCGAATCATGGAAAGTGGATGATTGCGAAGGAAATCATTTTCTATATAGAGAAGCAGTGGGTGCTTTAGCCTATCTCATGGTCGGAACACGTCCCGACATAGCGTATTTACCCAGAAAGCTGCAGAACTCCTGATGGGCAGAATGTGAAAAAATATCCAAAAGTTATTTTAGCTTTAGGTATCAAATACGACAACTAATTTCCTTTATCGCAATCATAAAACGTGACTACGTCAAACGACAAAATAAGAACTAAAGGAAAACGGTTTGACGAAGGATATCGCTGACTGTTTCGTTTAAAGTTGGTCTTAAACCACAAGTACCAGGACGGGTATGCACGAATTACCCTATCGTGAAAGTATGAATTGGATAGTAACTAACACTACACAAGATACCGAGATAACCGTTGTTAAATAAACGAACTAGATATAGAACTGACGACAGTTAGGGTTATAAATCATTTTAGACTAGGTATGTATAACTAGGTGAGGAATTTCGCAGTACATTAATAATTATGGGCGGAACTGAGTACTCGCTCGCACCCCCTGACGGGGGATGGGGATTCGTAATTGTTATGGCCATAGCGGTTACCAACTTCTGTACGTTCATGCCTCTGGTTACCTTTGGCATCATCTTTGGGGGTTTCATGAGGAGTCTCGGGGACGAAGCCGGAGGTACGGGATTTACGGTTGGGCTTTACTTTTTCGCACAATGGAGTACAGGTAAAAAACGCGCTTTAATCATGCCACTCTGCCATGTAAATTTTAGGGTTGTTAGCGAACGTTCTGCTGCAGAAGATGTCGTATCGTAAAGTTGGTGTGATGGGCGCGGTTCTGAATTTCATCGGAATGCTAGGTGGCAGTTTCGCTACTAATTTATACCAGTTTGTTCTGTCGTTCTCTGTAATTCAAGGTAAGATCCCTTTGTCACAGGGTGGGTTCAATTTCATTTTAGGGATCGGATACGGATTAATGCTACCCGCGATGTTAACCGCATTTAATCTTTATTTTGACAAGAGGAAGGCGATGGCTTACAATTTTGCGACTATAATTTTAATACTCTCCTGTGTGCCATTGCCGGCGTTTGGTTCGTTTCTTCTGGAGAATTTCGGTTTTCGTGGGGCCAATCTCATCGAATCTGCGATCGCTTTAAATTGCCTGCCGGTAATGATGTGCTTGCATCCGGTCGAATGGTACGCAAAGAAACGAAAGGTGTCTTTGAACCAGATCAACGCACGTAAGCTACTTTGAGGCTCTTGCAGCGATTTTTGAACATCTTTTTAGAGGAGTTAACGGAATTAGGCAAGCTAATTGAAAAAAAGGGAGAAGCTATTGCGAGTGGATTGCACGAAGATGGGAACTTGCTGAATTCGTCCCCAGAGACTGAGGGCCAAAATGTGGGAACCAAGTCTATATGTCCACATATTTGGTAAGTGCGTTAGATATTCGTTTACATCAAAGTGGGCCGTACAGAATGTGATTTAAATCAAATATCAAAATACGGAACGGAGGAAAGTCTTCGTTTTCGTGCGACAAATTTGGGGTTACAATAGAGGACCATGTTAGGTGATTTAGGATCAAGTGCTCTGTTTTGGGTCCTTGAACCAACATGGCAGATCACAAATAACAGCGGTTTCCGGTTTCGTGTTTGGGTTCCAAAACCGAAAAATGTGTAAAAACAGAGCAAAATAACAACAAAATGCTACTTTGGCGCCGTTTGAGAGTACCTTTTAACCTTATTTTAATCTGGGATGGTCACCTCGGCGCCGATTTCTCGGCGACTAGCCATCCGGGGGAACATTTACTTTCCGCGTTCGATTATCCCGGCGATGGGCAATCCTAATAATACGAAGCTCTGGATAGGACACATAGGAAATTATTTTGTAAATTACAGTTGTAACTGAGAATTAGTTTATAATTTACAGTTGTAATTGGGAATTACACTAATTTACAGTTGTAACTGGGAATTATGCTAATTTACAGTTGTAACTGAGAATTAGTTTATAATTTACAGTTGTAATTGGGAATTACACTAATTTACAGTTGTAACTGGGAATTATGCTAATTTACAGTTGTAACTTTACAACTGTAAATTAGCATAATTCCCAGTTACAACTGTAAATTAGTATAGTTCCCAGTCACAACTGTAATTTACAAAATAATTTCCTATGTATCCTATCCAGAGCTTCGTAATAAAACGTAAAAAATTGCTTTTATTTATTCGTTAAGGCATGGTTTAAGTTATGTGCTGCTTTATTGCTTAGTAGATAACATGTTATTAACTTCCTTAGGGTGCCAAAAGCAAAATCCTTAATTTTCTCAAACAGCTGCAACCGCTAATTCATAGTGCTTTAATTGGCCTTGTTAGTCCTTTTTTATTTGCACTTATACCGCTTAGTTACAAGTTATACGATTCTGTCTTAATCTGTAGGAATTATTATGTTTAAATTCGCAATTGGGATTTTACGATTTTTTAAAAACTTTTTATTTTAGGCCAAAGTTAATAAATCGCAAGTCTAACGGCATTTAGTGAGCCATTTTGGTGAAGGTAAAAATGTCTGCTGAACCCGAATTCGGATGTTGCCAAGCTGATTTTTGGCTAATTTCAAAATGGCGGCCAATATGACGGCCAAATATATAAATTTTTATGTCAGACGCATTTTACATAGTTTTTCGGATTGAGGTGTTAAAAAACATACAGGAGGCACAGAAAATTGCAAAAATTATACAGGGTGGTGACTTGCGTAACGCATCATAGGGATCTCAATGTAAAATTCATAGCATGCGCTTATTGGCCCCCCAAATTATTTTAGAGCAAATATGTATTAAGGTTTTTTATAGAAAAAAATTTTTTACGTCAATCAACCGTACTAGTTTTCAATTTTTTGCATAATTGGAAAAATACAACCCGGATCTTTTTCAATAATCTGCTATGCCATGGAATTTTCTAAAACAAAAAGATATCCAGTTATCAATTAGCAGCAGTTCGAAATGGATTTTATGATCGATTTGGTTACTGTCTTGCAGTTAGTGGTGACTTATTCGAACATTTACTGTAAATTGTTATATTAGGAAACCGTTTTTAGTAATTTGGTCCTTCTTTATGTTGAATTCGCTTTTCTAAATATAATACTTTTTGATAGAATTTGATTTGTTTTATAGCAGACATTCCATGGCATGACGGATATTGGCGTAGTTTTTGTATTACAAAATTCCATGGCATCACAGATTATTGAAAAAGATGCGGGTTTTATTTTTCCAATTTTCCGTCTTTATTATGCAAAAAATTGAAAACTAATACGGTTGATTGACGTAAAAAATTTTTTCCTATAAAAAACCTTAATAAATTTTTGCTCTAAAATAATTTGGGGAGCCAATATAATCGCATGTTATGAATTTTACATTGAAATCCCTATGATGCGTTACGCAAGTCACCACCTTGTATATTGGGTACATTATACAGACAACACGGTAACAATATAGAGATAATTCTGACGGCAAATGTATTTCATCATAATCGGCGGCTGTCTATTCGTTTTCAAGGTATCGTGCTAATGAACAGATCTCGGGACAGATGGACAGGCACCGCAAAATTATAAACTCTCTACGTCCTAGGAGATCGTCAATAATTTGAAAATGTTGGTTATTTAAAATATTTTTGCTATAGTGTTTTATAAAGAATTTAATAACCTGTCATATTATGTAATAATACACAGGGTGTTCCATATCAAAGTCACATTTTTGTTATCATCTGAAAAATGCGATGTGGTTTTGTTTTTTTAAATGCAGATTTGAATTCATTGGAAAAAATACGCAATTTTTATTTATATATATATTTATATATGTAATTGGAAAAAACCTTAAATACTTACCAACGGTTATTAAAAAGCACAAAATTTAATAACAAACAAAATTTGCCGAGGAAAATGTAAAACACTAATTTAATGAATTCACAGCTTTTTTGGGACACCCTATATATCACCACAGGATATATTTTCCTACATTTTCCGAACTAGCTATGAAGTTAATTAACCAACTCTTACGTATATATATAAGTAATAAATTATGGAAAACAATTTAATACTAAATAGTACACAATACAATAGATCGTGACGCCGCTGTATTTGTGAACTAGTGCAAAATTCGGCCTGGAAACATCCAGAATCGGATTCAGCACATTTTTTTACATCTAAAAAACCATGTGGCCAAAATGGCTCATAAAATGCCGTTAGAACTAAGAAACAGAGTCGTTTTTCGATTTGGCCACTTAACTATTTCGTTGACTTTGTGTATCAATAGATACATGGGATTTACGTCGTACCGTGTCGGTGTGTTTGCCTATCCATTAAGAAGCAAACCAAACGGTTTTATCCGCGGACAGGAACAGTAAGCCACATTTTCGCATGGTCCCATAAAGGACGAACTCTCTTCGGATTGAAGACCAAAATTATAATAATAATAACAACAACAGATAAGGCACTACAAATACACTCAACAGATAATACTTAAAAACAGCACACATAAATATAAGGATAGGACACTACTCAGAAGAAACTATTCACAGTAATAGACCACTTATAGATAAAACACAAAAATCAATTTGAATAAAACACATTGCCATTCCCAACACTAACAACTTGACTAAAACACATGCAAAAAAAACACCGCAAATACACTAATATAGATTTCGAACGCAATGGAGAATGAGATCTACTGTTATATCTCCCATTATTTTTAGTGCTACGAACGACATACAAACAGACACTAATCACTGCTTGATTTTAATCCGTGCGTTTAGACTACATAAGACTTCTAATAAGAAAGACTGACCATAATAATAATTGAATTGCATAGTTTATTTCCAAATTTCGTACAATTTACGATCCAGCTAAGTCTCAGAGATTTTATCAGCCGGTTTCGTATAATTAATTGCAAACATTTAACATATAAATAACACTAATACTATTTGAACATTTGCGTCACTCAAGATAAAGATAATTCATAAAAGAAATACAAGAACTTGATAAGTAGCTTATACATTTCTGTAATTATAACCAAATTTGTGTAGTACTTTAATGCAGTATAAATATATTTGGAATAGTATTTTATGCAATGAGCATTTAATGAGGGCTATTAAGACACGAGTGAGAATTAGGCCAGTTTCGTAATGAATATGAGTATCTTAATAGCCGTTAAATTCGTGTACTATGATAAGGTATGAAAAGGTGATGCCACGACGACCTCAAAAGGCGTCCAAAATTTGAAATTTTCGTTGTGAAGTCTGCGACCTCAAAGCATGCAATGGTAACGCGTTCCAGCGGGCCGGATTCACATAATCTACAGACTTTATATGTGTCGTTAATGTATTCAAATACAAACCTTCATCTTTCACTACATATTCGGATTTTTCAGTAAAGTTCTCGAATGATTGAATCCAATGAAGCCATTCTCGTTGACTATTGTAATAAATTTACCATCAACCTTTAGGCTTTAATCAAATAACAAATATGACATTAATTAATCAAAGCTGTATACACAATATAAAGTGAACTATTTAATATTAGCACATTTTCCCCTCGTATTGTGTGAGAGCTGTAGAGATAGATTATGTTTAAATAATCTGTAACCAACCCTTAATCAACCCATTATTAATAAATTTCCGTCTACTTTAGGTTTGAGAAATTTTTTAAGACATTTCTATCTGTATGTAAAGCACTTTTATATTGCGGGGGTTGTTCCTTTATGTAGTACACCGAACATTTTTGTTTTTTTGATAGATTTTGTTTAAATAATCTGTAACCAACCCTTAAACAACCCTTTATTAATAAATTTCCGGCTATTTTAGGTTTGCGAAATTTTTTAAGTCATTCATATCTGCATGTAAAGCACTTTTTTATTATACCTGAATCACAATCTCCGTTTTAAACACTCAAATGCGTGCAAAAACGGCTCACACGTGCGGTTGCTTGCTAAGTAACGATACTTCAAGTATGACTTTTGAAACTGTCATCTGGATGAAATAAAAAAATCCTCTTAGGTCGCTTTCTGTAAATGCAGAACATTTCTTTGGCTTTTGTACCTATCCTTTGGTTGAAGCTTTCACAAACGCGCGAAATTTAGGGTATGCTTCCAAATCTGTTCCACTTTTTAATCGCAGCATTCCTTTAAAGTTTTGAATGAATGCACCAAAATATAGAAGATTTAAATACCTTTGACATTTCCTTCATATATACCAGCATTATGGATGCATTTAAGACTGTATTCGTAAGTAACTTCCTATTCATCCATGGAAACAACTTTTCATATTCTTTATAATAGGCTTTACTGGATTTGGATTTTACACCTACCAACGTTTGTTTAGATTTTACAAGCGATTTAATGGACGATGTATTATCTTTTTCAACGGAAATCGTTTTATTTACAAAGATGATGATGATTATAAGCAAACGTCAAGTGACATTTCCATGGCAATCGTGAAATTTCGAACACCCAGCCCACTTAATTAGACATGTATTCGAGTATAACGTCAATATGACTTCATTGTATTTCCTATTTTTAAATTATACTGCAGGTATAATAAAAAATACTATAAGATACACGTGTATAATTGGTCTTTAAAGCACTTAGCGAACGTTAGATTACGGCATTTCCGTCCGAAATTTTTTAAGTCATTCATATCTGCATGTAAAGCACTTTTATATTGCGGGGGTTGTTCCTTTACGTAGTACACCGAACATTTTTGTTTTTTTGATAGATTACGTTTAAATAATCTGTAACCAACCCTTAAACAACCCTTTATTAATAAATTTCCGTCTGTTTTAGGTTTGCGAAATTTTTTAAGTCATTCATATCTGCATGTAAAGCACTTTTATATTGCGGGGGTTGTTCCTTTACGTAGTACACCGAACATTTTTGTTTTTTTGATAGATTACGTTTAAATAATCTGTAACCAACCCTTAAACAACCCTTTATTAATAAATTTCCGTCTGTTTTAGGTTTGCGAAATTTTTTAAGTCATTCATATCTGCATGTAAAGCACTTTTATATTGCGGGGGTTGTTCCTTTACGTAGTACACCGAACATTTTTGTTTTTTTGATAGATTACGTTTAAATAATCTGTAACCAACCCTTAAACAACCCTTTATTAATAAATTTTCCGTGCTGTTTATAGGTTTGAACGAAATAATTTAAGATTAGATGTCATTCACCTTACGGTTAAAGAGCGACTCGTTCAAACCTACTAAAATGTCAATTTTTCATCTGCTGTAAAATAAAGATGTTTAATAATTAGTTCATTATGGGAACATATCTGTTATGAAAATGTTTCATTTGCAAATATAAATGTATGTTAATAATAATACTCTTTATTATTACCTCAATTGCAAGTTTTGGCGAAGAAAGAAATTACAGTTTAGGTATCAAACAATTAAGGTAGTAAGTGGCGGAGTTCAGCATAGCTTTTTCTAAATGATCATACTAACGACCTTTGTTTGAGCTGTTCTTCCACTCAACCAGTTAATACTGCTTGTAATTTACATACTTAAGTAGGTAAGTGTTATCTACTATCGAATCACTGACATCAAATGGCATTCAAGTTAGAGAGAATTGTAAAGGTATTGTTTGAGAATGACCTTGAAAGTTCCAGGGTTTCTAATTGCTTTCAAACGTTCCGGTAGCATATTATAATCTTTAGCAATATTGTAGGAGAACGACCCTTTATACTGTGATGTCTTATGGAGAGGTATGGTGAGAAAGTTTTTTTTCCTAATATTTATATTATGGACGTCTGTTCTAAAAGAAATATTTTCGAACAAGTATGGGGGTTTATGCGTGATTAATATGTTATGATAAAGTCCGAGTCGATGCAGTTTTCTTTGGTTTTCCATGTTCAGCCATTTTAATTTATTGAGGGTGTGTGATATCCTTTCATATTTACGTATTCCAAAAATAAAACGTAAACAGCTATTTTGGACCTTTTGAATAACAGGTTTGTTTAGTTATGCATGGTCCGTAAACGGCATCACAGTAATTTAAAGGTGCCAGCACTAAGGAATTAGACAGTAACGCTTTTGTGTTTTGTGGCAGCACATGCCTATATGAATATAAACGCCGCAAATTATTATATGATTTGTGAATTTTTGAGTTTACATGGGTTTGGAAGTTTAATTGGTTGTCCATGTATAGTCCAAGATTTTTTACTACATTCGAGGGTTTCAAACGATCACCTTTAAATTGGATAGATATTTTTTCTTCGGCAAGATTTCGATTTGACTTTGTACCGAAAAATATCAACTGTGTTTTTGCGGTATTCACATTGAGACAATGGTCTTCTGCTGTATTTACAAACGCGGCTATATCTTTGTTAATAGAGTCTGCAACTGTACTGATTTCTTTAGGAAGTATTTTAAAATATATTTGACAATCATCAGCATACATGTGAATACTGCCTAGTTTTAAAGAGGACTGTAGATTAAGGGTATAGATCGAAAATAGTAGTGGCCCGAGTATTGATCCTTGAGGAACACCACAAGTTACCGCTACCAGGTTCGAAGAGACTCCATCTATGACCACTTTCTGATACCGATCAAAGAGGTAATTTTTAAGTAATTGTATTGCAGAATTAATATTTGATTTTTATTTTGATCTATTTTTGCAAAGGGAAACATTCTTTTATTTTTGAAAATTGAATACATTTTTTCAAAATTCTCGTGGCATGTCTTCTTTTTAACTATTTTCTAACAGAAATTTCATTTCACGTCTAAACGTATTACTAGTATCAAGATTAAAGTTGATCTTTGGAAGAAAATTATTATAAGTAAAGAATTTTGCTAGACAAAATCTGACCAAGCGAAGAGTCCTTGTTTTTTTGTTTTTTTTTAGCTAAACGAGCTTTCTGGATCAATCCACAAAATACCTAAAACAAGGTTATGATTGCCGACTGAACACTTGGGAAATCGCTTAATTTTAAATGATCCTATTGTTTATCTGGAGGGAGATTTAATATGAAAGAAGTAGCGGGTCAAACACGACGGTAACTAGGAACGTTTTTGACAACAGAACATTCCTTATGTTGTCCTGGACTTAGTCGAATCCCATTTCTGATTAAACCCAATCAAAACGACACAATAACACGATTCTGTTTTTTTTCAGGAACTCACTGGTGAGATCGCTCGATCTGGGACTCTTCACGGATCCGATCTACGTCAACGTCATCATTGGGATGTCTCTGTGCATTTCAGCAGATTTTAGCTTCCTCTCGTCGCTTCCCCTGCTACTGACAAGCTTTCGCGTAAATTCCGACGACGCAACATTGATTTTGACAATCTTTTACGTCGCCGACATCTTTGGAAGGGTGGGCCTGTTCACTTTGTCGGCGTGCGCCGAGGTGAGGAACCGCAATTTGCTGCTCGTCGGAGCAATTTTGGCCTCATGCTTCCGTACAGGTAAGAGCTTAGATCGGAACTTGGGATCATTCTGTGAATTTTTGTCAATTTCAGCTTTCGTGATGGACCAATCGTTTTGGTCGCTGCTCCGTCGATCAGCGCGGCGTTTATGGGTAGTCGCTGCGCTGTCTTTATCTTTGCAGAAGCGTACAAACTTAGTAGGCACCTTTGAGTATCTAGTCCACATTCAAAGGTAGGCACTGCTCTCTTTGGCAATTTTTTTGCATATAGTGTTATCTAATTTTTATCAGCACTTAATTAATAATAATAATTTAATTATTCTACTTGGTAAGTACATATACGTTGGTTGATACTTTGGAGATAAAAATATAAAGAATAAAGAGGAATTTATTGATTTAATTTTTAATGATATCCCCCCCCCAATTTGGATTCACACTTTATGATCTTCTGTTTAAACAGGTGGTTTTGTTTAGGGTATAGTAACAAATATTACCCTTTGAATTTATTGTAAGTTTTTCCTGAGAACTTCATGAGGGAACGTTTTAGAACTATTGCGAATCTGTTAAGAACTCTACCCAGAGCCAAAAATTCTCCCCCAAGACCATGAAATCGTCCAATCAATATAACAACGTAATCTTCTACGGGATCCAAGGCACGAGCGAGGAAAATCAAGAGGATTTGGATGTCAAAAATCGACCCGTGCTTGTGGCATATGCGTCTCCAACATTCTCAAGAGAAAAATTCTGAGGAACGCCGGAAAGCTTAAGGGCAGTAAAATATATCTTTCGGGGGACTACGATGAAGAAATGCGAGAACGTAGAAAGAAAATGATTAAACTAAGAAACATCTACAGGGAAGCGATTTGACAGCTGAGGAGGAACGGAATAATGCTCGATGGAAAATTTGTCCACTTCAAGGAATTACATCTGGAGGATCAGGAGACCGCTGGGAATGATGAATCTGCCGAAGAGGCTTGCAGAGATCACACAGCTATTCAGAATCCGCATCTGCAGGAGGCAGCAAATCTCAAAACTAATATGGAAGAGCAAGTGCAGTGGACATTGTGGCCGATAATGTGGCAGGATTAAAAAGTAAGTGGACCAATTTAGAATTCATACATTTTTTAAGACAGTTTGAACGTACTATGTGCAGTTCCATGGTTATTAGAGTATCTTTGCGTGAGGTTAAGAAGACGTACGCCAAACGGAGGGAATTAGTAGGCACCTTTGAGTATCTAGTCCACATTCAAAGGTAGGCACTGCTCTCTTTGGCAATTTTTTTGCATATAGTGTTATCTAATTTTTATCAGCACTTAATTAATAATAATAATTTAATTATTCTACTTGGTAAGTACATATACGTTGGTTGATACTTTGGAGATAAAAATATAAAGAATAAAGAGGAATTTATTGATTTAATTTTTAATGATATCCCCCCCCCAATTTGGATTCACACTTTATGATCTTCTGTTTAAACAGGTGGTTTTGTTTAGGGTATAGTAACAAATATTACCCTTTGAATTTATTGTAAGTTTTTCCTGAGAACTTCATGAGGGAACGTTTTAGAACTATTGCGAATCTGTTAAGAACTCTACCCAGAGCCAAAAATTCTCCCCCAAGACCATGAAATCGTCCAATCAATATAACAACGTAATCTTCTACGGGATCCAAGGCACGAGCGAGGAAAATCAAGAGGATTTGGATGTCAAAAATCGACCCGTGCTTGTGGCATATGCGTCTCCAACATTCTCAAGAGAAAAATTCTGAGGAACGCCGGAAAGCTTAAGGGCAGTAAAATATATCTTTCGGGGGACTACGATGAAGAAATGCGAGAACGTAGAAAGAAAATGATTAAACTAAGAAACATCTACAGGGAAGCGATTTGACAGCTGAGGAGGAACGGAATAATGCTCGATGGAAAATTTGTCCACTTCAAGGAATTACATCTGGAGGATCAGGAGACCGCTGGGAATGATGAATCTGCCGAAGAGGCTTGCAGAGATCACACAGCTATTCAGAATCCGCATCTGCAGGAGGCAGCAAATCTCAAAACTAATATGGAAGAGCAAGTGCAGTGGACATTGTGGCCGATAATGTGGCAGGATTAAAAAGTAAGTGGACCAATTTAGAATTCATACATTTTTTAAGACAGTTTGAGGTATTTGTGTTATTCGAATGTTTTTTAGTCGAGGAAGAAAGGTTTTCGCTTGGTTTTTCTAAATTTGTAAGAACGATAGGGATACTCCCTAAAGCTTAAAATGTATACCGGCTGTAGGCATAACAAATACGGGCGTGCTAGTGCAGGATCAATATATAGGATTCGGAAGGACAGTTGGAGTAGAACTATGTTTAGTTTTATGAATTTGTCTAATGTAGATGTTATACAAATAAGAGGTCAGGCGGGTGTCTTGCATGTTCTGCCAATCTACTTTTTTTATATATTATATTAACTGGATCGGCGCACATGGGTCATACACAGCTAGTTTAAAATTATTGTTTAACTAAATAAATAAATATATAATATAAGATGTTAATAAGAAAATAATAAATAAGAGTAATAGTAATCTAACTATGAACACTTTTAATCACCGTCATCAAGTAGGATATCCTGTGGAAGTCTGGGTTTTAGTCTAAGGTTTTGTGATCGTTGACCAAGTGCGTAATAAATTGAACCCGGACAGTTTCTCAGATCATGAAGAAATTTTGTTGTTGTGGTTTTTATGAATGCACTAATTGGAGAAATATTGAGTTCGCGGCTGACTTGAGCATTACGCACAAACCAGGGGGCATCGGTAGCTATTCTTAACACCTTGTTTTGGAACGTTTGCAACTTACGCAGGTGAGTGTTTGATGCGGTCCCCCAAATTGGACAAGGATACATCAGGGCTGATCTCAGGATTGATTTGTAGATCAATACCGCACATTCAGTTTTCAATGGTGAGCTCTTATTTAGTATAGGGTATAGCAATCTTAATTTATGATGTGCGTCGTTCAACTTTAGGTTTATATGTATTCCCCATGTTAGTCTGTGGTCCAAGTGTACGCCAAGGTATTTAACAGCTTGATCCTTGCGATTCCACGGTATTTGCCTGCCATTGATTTGAATGCATCTTGGATTGCTGTACCTTCTTAATGTGAAGATTTTTGTGACACATTTCGTTTCGTTGAGTAGTAGGTTCCATCGGTTATACCAGCTACTAATTTCATCTACGGCTTGTTGAAGAGCCCCGATGGCTGTATCCAAATCAGAACTGTGTGTTACTATGGCTGTATCATCAGCAAACATGGAAAGAGAACAATTTACTGGGACAGGAATATCGTAAGTATAAATGTTGAAGAGTAAAGGGCCAAGTACAGACCCCTGCGGCACACCTGCTCTAATACTCTTGATGTTTGAGAGTGTTGAATTGATTCTGGTAGAGTACGTTCTATCACATAGAAAGGAAGATGTAATGTTGATGATGTAGTTTGAATTGCAACAATTGGAAGGTTGAGTTTAACGCGTTGTCTAGTTTATTAGATGATCATCCTAATTCTCAGTTTATTTTGATGGGAGACTTTAATTAATAGTCGTATTGGTACACTACAAATTATAGGTATCCCAATATGCCAAAGACAATCCAGGAAAAGATAGAATCCCATATGAGTTCTTCAAAAATACTTCAGTGACGTTTTTAGAAACTACATGAAATTTATGTATCTAGAACCATACCGAACAACTTTAAAGAATTGATCATATTCCCAATTCACAAAAAAGGAGCGATGAATGATCCAAATAATTATAGGGGAATCTCATTCGAAAACACCGGGAGTAAATTATTTGCTGGTTTATTGCTGGACAGAATTACGCCGTGGACGAATCGGGAAAGCATACTAAAAGAATTCCAAGCGGGATTTAGGAAATCTTACTCTACGATTGATAACATCTTTAGTTTGATGAGTATAATCAAGATCCATTTAAGCAGGGAAATGTACAGAAATACTTCAGCGTCAGTCAAGGCTTTTGAAACAGCTATGGGTGTAAAACAGGAGTGTTTATTGAGCCCCCTACTTTTTTCACTATTCATAAACGATATTGATGATTATTTGAATGGGGATATCAGAATAAATTCCACCACAATCAAACTATTAGCGTATGGAGACGATCTGGTACTTTTGGCATCGGACAAGTATAATTTACAGAAAATGATCAATGAACTATATAGCTAGTCGAAATAGGTGGTTAAGGTAGAAAAAATTAGTAACAAAGTGATCTCTGCGGAAATGAGGGTCCTTATTAACCCCTCAAAAATCGCACTTTGTCGCATTGGTGGAACTTGGAAAAAAATGGCCGCTATCTTGATTTTTTTCGAATTTATTAAATATTTCGTATACATTATATCAAAAAAACTCAAGAGACTATTTTTTATGGAGAATCAAAAGTTAAGTCTATTGATCAAAAAACAAAAAAGTTTATTTAATAAATTCGAAAAAAATCAAGATGGCGGCCATTTTTTTCCAATTTCCACCAATGCGACAAAGTGCGATTTTTGAGGGGTTAATAAGGACCCTCATTTCCGCAGAGATCACTTTGTTACTAATTTTTTCTACCTCACTTGTATAAACCTGCCTAATAGATTGCCCAGCCTATATTGCAACATGTGGAATCTGAAAATAAACCTTTCGAAATCAAAAATTGTGGTGTTCCGGAACGGTGGGCGACGAAGCGAAGAGGACAAATGGTTATAAGTTATAAGTATCTGGGAATTACGCTTACTTCAAAATTGTCTTTGGAAGATCACTTTAAAGAGAAGGTAAAAAGTGTAACATTTGCTATAAATTCGTTTAACCAATTAAATTTGGGCAACAACAAAATTGAACATCTTCAATTCCGCATGTCGATCAATTGTGTGCTACGCATCATACGTATGGGGCTTCCTCAGTCATGGAACAGTAGAGATACCGCTTAAATTCTTCGTAAAGAAATGCCTTAGGCTACCTAGGAATACGCCAGACTACATGATTTATTTGGAAACCGATCTTTACCCCACGTATTTGTACACGCTGCATCTGCATTTCAACTACAGGGTGAGTTTTTTTTTCATTTTAAGCATTAGGATCTCGGAAACCGTAAGACATAGAGATTCGGTTAAATGAGGAAAGAGTTGTCGTTTTAAGAGCTTATTCAAGATATGCTTTTGTTTTTTTAAAACAATCCACAGTTTACTAGATATGAGCGAAAAACAGATTTAGTGTTTAATTTTTTTTTTTTTTTTTTTTTATTAATTTATTTAAGGTGCATTGAACAGCTTAGGTCTTTTACACCATTAAACTTAACTTAAAAATTTACATGAGTGATCTATATCTCATCTAACAGGTTTGTATTTTCTAAATAACCCAATAACTTTAATATGTCTATTTCAAACACATTCGTAATGTCTCTTGGTATCCCGTACTGTATTCGTTCTATATTAAATTTTGTACACTCGCACAATATATGTTCTACTGAGAGAGGTATGTCACAAAAATCACAGTTAGGTGGCGGTGTCTTTTCGTAGATATGTTTGTGAGTCAGTTTTGTATGTTCTAGTCGTAGTCTTGATATAATAACCTGCTGTTTTCTATTTAGCTTCACTTTTGGTTTCCAGTAAGTTGGTGTTTGCTGTATTTTTCGTAGTTTGTTGTTTTGGATGTTTTCCCAGTCCTCATACCACTTTTGGAAAATGGTTGTATTTATGAAATGTTTGGTATCCTCTGGTGAAACTGTACTGTCGTCTACTGTTTGTAATTCGGAAGCTTCTTTCGCCTTTGCATCAGCTTCTTCATTTCCCAGTATACCTATGTGACTTAGGAATCCAAATGAATGTAACGTTTTTGTTCAGTTCTTGAATTTTATATAAAATTTTGTGAATGTCTTTTACGTAACTGTTTGTAGGATATAAATTTTTAATGGATTGAAGAGCACTTTTAGAGTCTGACAGTATCAGGAAATTATTGTTGACATTATTTTCGTCAAATTTCAACGCCATTTTTAAAGCACAAAGTTCGGCACTGTAATTTGAACTATATTCTATCAGACGCTGTTTTTCGCAAATGTTTTTATCCGGACA